TATATATATATATATACAGTATATCTCGGACTCATTTTACCCGCCAAAGAATTTGTATTTCTGTCCATCCAATCCTTAGATTTACACATGCCTGCCACACAGCGCAGTCCTATGTAGCAGAGAATGAGACCTGATCTTTCTCTGTTGCAGTGCCATATTTATTGAATACCCAGCTGTATTCATTTGTTTCTTTTATATGTTCTGGTGTTCAGCTCTAAGATCTTTTTTTTCCTCTAAGATAACCATAAAATAAAATATGCAGCAGTCCTAATGAAGTAAAACTTTTTTTTGGCATACAGTAGACTGTTGGCTGGATGACACTTTTATTGTCATTGTGTTATTATGAGCTCTTGTTCAGTAATAAAAGGTTACAATGATTTTTAGAAGCTATTTTAGCAATTAAATACAAACCGACTTCACATTTAGAGTTTTCTCGAGTGTCCTCTGTCTTGCGGACTGTAGCTACAAGAGGCATTTGTGGTAATGTCTCCATAAATAGAGGATGACAACGCAATTTTCTGTAAGCAATTGCCAAATGGAACCTCAGCTTTTCAAAGCATTTACATGCTGTGCCCGAGATCCAGTATTGTGTGCAGATCTGGTCTGGGGAACCTTTTTTTTTTTCCCTGTAGAATCCGCTATGCAGTAATATGGACTACCATACTACAACCAGCCAAACACACAGATTTTAAGACCAATGCAGAGATGGTATGACTAGTTCAAAACATGTGACACATCTAAATGACTCCTATCCAGGGGCGCCCCGAGGCTGGGTGACACCCGGAGCAGGGACCGGGTGACACCCCGCTGTGACTTCATCATGCATGCGCGGTCGTCTTATTGATGACTGCCGGCGGCCATCTTGGTGATGGACGGCGGCAGGGAGAGGAGGGGACGTTCATACCTCATCCCACCAGGTCCACTCCTCTCTCCTGACCCTGTCAGGCTCTCAGTCTGTGGCCGAGTGCCCAACTTCTCATAGAGGGTGACACCAAAATGACTGTCAGTCAATGGTGGAACCCGGGTGAAGGTCGCACACCCCCCTTGTGACGCCACTGCTTCTATCTGTCCCTCATTGGAAGCACTGTCTCTTTTTTCCATATCTGTAAAAAATTAATCAAGGCAACTTGACTTGCTGTAATTTTCTTCAAGATGTTTCACTGGTCATCGACTAGCTTTTCACTTGCATTTATGGTAACATGTTACATAGGAAAGCCCATTTATAAAGCAGCAGTAAGGGCTTCCCGGGGCCATAGCACTGCTTTAAAGGCAGTAGTATGGCCACATGATGTTTTTTTTTTTTACAATTGTGCTTAGTGTTTTATTTGCTTTGGGATTCCTAGGCAAGTGAAGTACCTTTAACTATCATTAATAGGGGGGAAAAAGAGCACTGGGAGCTGGAGAGTCCAGCCACATAACCTGTCAAAGTCATGCAATTGGCTTCTCATCCTATCACTGAGTGTTTTCTGCACCATTATGTATAGAATGCTGCAGGACACCACCACTTGCATTTTATGAATTGCTTACGCGGTAGTGAAGTGTGGGGTAAACACTGATCCATGGTACAACAATATCCGCTCACCTATGTAAATAGGCACCTACATCTTTTATCCAACCTCTGAATCTGTATTTGTTATTTTGAAAAACACTATCAAGCTAAAGTAGTGATGAAATATAAATATATGTGAGTTTAATTAATTAAAGAGCGTTCCTCTTTCTTATCTCAGAACTTTGGGAGATATCATAATGCCAGCAGGGGTACAGTACAAATGTTTGGCCTATGGTAAATATAGAATGTGGAGTCTATATTCAATGTTTATTGCAACATGTTTAAATTCCCAGTAGGGTAGCCAATATTCCTGCTTGATATTACCAATCAGGAAGTGTACAAAGCCATTATTTGCTGTCAGAAAGGGCTTGTGTCAATGGCATCAGTTCAACATCAGTTTTAGATGCTTCAGAAATCATTCAGAATTTATTGACAGGAAAATGTGACCTGCAGTTGGCCTCCTTCTGACCTGCATTTGACCTGCTTCAAGTGGGTTTTGTATTTCCATAAACTTGCATGGGAATGCAAAGCCCTTTTCAAGCTAATAAAATCCCATTGACAAAGGCCCTGAAATTAATGTAAGTAAAGCCAGTGGCAAAGACGAAAATCAGTGATGGGGCTTTCTTGATTTTGGGATGCATACCATTACTGGTTATCTGCTTTGAAAACCTTTGCACCACATTGATTACATGCTTCCTTACAATAACAAGCGCTAACATATTTTTTCAGAGTGGGTTAATTGCTCATTGAAATCATCAGGGCCGCGCAGCAATCGCTGTCTGCAATTGTGTACGATCGTGCGGTCCGCCCAGGTCTGCACTGGCCCTCAGGGACCATAGATTGCAACGGAGGGGAGAGAGGCTCCAGGGACCGGTCTTAGAGCCAGCTGGCTCAGAGTATCAGTTCAGTATAACTTTTTTATTTTTGACCCTAGGAAAAAATGAGCACTTAATAAAAATTTTACCCAGACTTCTGCTTCAAATATTAAAAAGGAAACTCATGTTGGGCCAACTTTAATTTTAGATTTAAAGTGACATTAAAGTCAAAAAATGTTTTCCTTCCCCCAATGTTAATTAAAGCACTTACCTTAAATTATGTCTCTTAATCCGATCTTCTTCTTCTTTCCTGTTGTTTTCATCGGTCCCTCCAGCGATGCTGCGGGTGTCCGATCCAGCGCTGACTCCTCTGTCCTTGCTGGCACTTCCTGTCCCACGGTGTCTGCATGCGGGTGCATGCGTCCATATACTTACCTTGTGTCTCTCCTCGTCTCCCGGCCGAAAATGTGAACTGCACATGCGCCCGCCCCAAGATGCTTTGCGGCCGCCTGAGAATTTTCAGATTTTCGGACGGGAGCCGGCGGGGAAGACACAGGTAAGTATGAACCTATTTTAAAGCTTTTTTTGTTTGTTTGCTTTTTTACACATTTTCCATATATCTACTGCTAGCTAGCAGTAGATATATGCAAAAAAAACGGAGGGTTTAATAAGCCTTTAAATATTTTTAAACCAATGGTCTTTGTCTTTTAAAAAAGTAAAGCACATCTTCCTACTGTAAAAAAGATTAACCATGACCAAGAGTTGCAGTACTATCTGTACGCACATGCCCAGTGCAACAAAATGCATGTGCGGTTTAGCATACCATAACACACAAATGTGAACCATTTATGTGTTGTGGTGACTGTGATGGGAGAAAATAGAGCAGGCCTGTTAAAAAAAAATTTGGGTTGCGTTGGCAGCCCATTAATAACAAATGGGTTGCCTTAACCCACCAACGCACTTTAACACAGGAAAACTTAACATGCATGCGGATGTGGTAATGCCCCACAAGTCTGAATCTGCCCTAAATATTAAATTGCATTCATTAATAAAAAATACTAGTTCTACTGTTTTTCAGTTGGACCAGATACATTTTTAGGCAAACCTGCGTAACCAAAACCCACCTCCATACAGGGCATTAGACAACCTTCAGTGCCTACACTTACTAGTAATGATGTGGCCCACAAAGATATTTTGTGAAAGTCTAGTTTTCCTGCTATGGACTTCAGAAATGCCAGTTCTCCATCTATCACGTGACAACTCACTGCATTGTAGGAGGACAGGGTGATTAGTGTCAGAGGCAGGTTTACTCTAAAGCAGTGGTTCTCAACCTGTGTAACCTCAGGACCCACATTTGTCCTCGATCATTAAGTCGTGACCCAAGTCAAACTGTAGTGGAACGCACGGCAGTGTGGGCTGCTGTGCTGTGAAAGAGCTCCATCCATATGTGCATTGCTTGTACA